AAAGTGGGTGCCCTCTGGCGAGTAAAGCCTCAAGGCTGGGGGAGGGCCTGTAATCTCCCTCAAAGCATGTGTCTTGTTAGGGTGGTTATAACGGTATTTGGTAGCGGATTCGGGTAAATGTTTGGTAAACGGTGTTGTAGGCCTACGTAGAAATTGCATGGCCGTATATGTTATGGGCGATCTCGTTACAGAGATGAGCGTTGTCATTCATTTTTTACGGAAAAATGAGTGATTTGAATAGAACAGTGAGTTGAAAAACATGATAGACCTGAAGAAAATTATCAACGTTATATACCAGAAAAGTTCTTATATGAGAATTAGTTTAACTGTAGTGACGAGTTATGTTTGCTAGGATGTGACAGAAGACGTTTTCAGTGGATGGAAGTTGGAGAGTATAACCTCCTGACTGGAAGTGTAGATTCTAGAGACCTCTTCATTGTAGCAGCTTTTGGAGTGAGGTCAGGGAACAATAGATGTTGTTGTTGGCCCATATGATTTGTGGTGTGGTAGTCCCTTTACTGAAGGCAGTGGGGTGTGAATAAAGGATGTAAATTTAAGACTAACAATTGAATCAAAACATAGAACTAACATTAGTAAAATCCCAAAGCGGTTTTAGTAATGAGAAATTAAAATAACAAATTAATTTTAAAAAACGCAGTAACACTCCAAAAACAAATTAATAATAATGGCGTATTTCATATTTATACACATATTTATAACAGACATACACTGTGGAAGGTAATGGTGGAAGTGGGAGTACCCAGAAAGGCAGGATTGGGATTATTGAAGGAATTGCAGGATTCATCTTCATGTATCACTATTAGCAGCAGTACCTCAGATGAGTTTTAAATCGAAACGGGTCTAAGACAAGGCGACACACTTTCCCCTTTGTTATTCAACTTCGCTTTAAAACACGCAGTAAGCACATCCAGAATTAATAAATTGCTTCGCTACCCAGGGAACGAAAGTACTCTTAGCTTTTGCTAACAATGTCAAAACAATTGCATAATCCGCCAGGAATGCGAAAGAAGTTCTTACCCTTTTTGAAAGCGGGTCAGGAAATAGGCCCTAAGGTCAATGAAGATAAGACTAAGTACATGATATTTACCAAAAAGCCAAGACTAAGAATGAGACAAAAATTCAGCAAAGCAGTGATAACAGCCGAAAATACTAATGAAAAAGGTGTAGCGGCTAGAATCGTGACAGGAAATAGAGCGTATTATTCCCTAGAGACACTACTTAAATTTGGGCCTAGTGGAGACGATATAACAAGAAAAACGGGGCTAAGAGTCACTTATATACAGTTTTAGAACCAAGAAAAAAAAAGATAGTTATACATGATTCTATACCGAACGGGTATTCAAAGGTATTTGTGTAGTGTTTATCAGTCAACTGGAGTGGAATAGAAAAACAAGGGTAATTCTACTTCATTTTTTAATGGAAAACGTTTCTTATATGAATTTATACACATAATCAGTTCCAATCTACAATTAAAATTACATATATAGAGAACAAAAGTGTACAAACTTCCGAGAATATGTTAGTTAACATTAGTTAACAACGTACAAAAGACGTTAATAAAATATTCCATAAGCAAAGTCAAAAAACTTACTGGAAATCGAAACGAAAAATGAAATTTTCAATACAATCAATAATTGTGGTTTAATCCCAAATAAAATAATCTTTAAAATCAATAAACAATTACAAAAAATTCTGATTTTGAATTTTACTTTAGGAGATATATGAAAAATAGTAAGTAAAATAATAGTAAGTTATTTAAAATAAATTTAAAAGCAGCTTACAAAAATATTTTCATACCACGCCAACATACCTATGGTACATTCATAATAGTGAAACATTCATTTATGTTGCTTAGTAAAACCAGTACAGTACATTCAACCAATTAACACCTCTGCTCCTAGAATATTTACGAGTTGTTTTCTTGTCTTCGGGATACTCAGTCACAGTAAGATCTTCTTGAGAATGTCTGACAGTCCTCATTACAGTTTTTAGGTACTTTCACTTATCCCGAGTGCGTCACAAACGCGTTGATTTATATATAATGATGACTTTAAAAGTCCGCCATTGTCTCTTTCCATGGTAAAGTATTTATGCACATTTGCAATTAATACATCAATATACAACTTACGTCTAGGCATGATGGTCACTTGAAACTATACTGAATTAGAATATACTAAGTTTAGGTCAATATGACAGAAACTTTCTAACTGTTGTGCTTGAGAGGTAAAATATAATATATTCGCTTACAAAGATCCTAAACACATTAAGCAAATTAACCTAATGATCATTAGAAAGGCCGATTGTAATTTAATTATGTTTAATAAAAAGTTTAGAAATGGTTGGAAACTGTACATAAACAAATTAAAATGTTTGCCACAATTATTTTGTCTTCAGTGCAAAGTATTTTCATTTGAAAATAAAAAGTTAAATATATTCACCAAAACCCTAACTTTAACCTGTAATCGCAGACGCCTCAAAAACGATACACTCTAACATCCATATGGTAGATCTAACCACCACTATTTAAATTGAAAAAAGTTCTAGTTTACTCCGAAGTATTTTTTAACAAAAATTAAAAGTGATATTTTAATACCTTGTATATCTACTTTGAATATAAATGATCCTTAGCACGGTAGTATTTGTTTTAGAAAAAAAATTATTAAACAAGTAGGTGAAAGAAATTTACGTTAAATAACATTATGCAAGGATACTATTTATTAAAAAAAAATGTAACAAAAAATTCAAAACTATGAACAACGGTTTAATGACACATATATTTATTTTACACATATTTATTTTACACAGATGGAAAGAATACTGTGGACGACTGATGATGGAGGAAAGCACAGACGCCCCATCACAACAAGAAGATGCCAGTTTTGCGACGGAACCTGACGTACTCAAAAGTGAAGTTGAAGCAGCAATTATGAGGCAAAAAAGTCAAAAAGCTGCCGGTCCAGATAACATACCTATTGAAATGATTTGGGCCCTAGATGACGTTGGAGTGGATATAATACATCAAATTTGTCAAAGAGTGTGGGAGACAGGTAAATGGCCTGAGGACTGGACACAATCACTATATATTCCCATACATAAAAAGGGAGCGAAAGATTTATGTAGCAACTATCGCACAATTGCTCTAATTGCGCATTGCAGTAAGATACACATAATTCTCGAGAGGATAAAGCCCTTTTTACTACCTAACATTGCGGTGGAACAAGCAGGTTTCGTCCCAGGACGTGGTACTAGAGAACAAATTTTAAACGTACGGCAGATTGTAGAAAAATCCAGAGAATTCAACATCACAACATATTTGTGCTTCATAGATTATAGTAAAGCTTTCGATTTGGTCAACTGGAGTAAAATGTGGCAGGTTTTGTCTGAAATGGGAGTCCCTAATCATCTGATACTGCTAATTAAAAGCCTGTACAATAACAATTATGCCAGAGTTAGAATAAATGGGGAACTAACTGACAGTTTCAGGGTCACAAAGGGCGTGAGACAAGGCTGCATACTAAGCCCAATTTTATTTAACATCTATGGTGAATGGATAATGCGGAAAGCTACTGAGGACTGGAACGGTGGCATCACCATTGGCGGGAAGAAGATTTGCAACTTGAGATATGCAGATGATACTACTATCCTCGCTAGTTCTGAAACTGAATTGATTCACCTGCTACAACGGATAGAAGACGTAAGCTTAACGATGGGCCTTAAAATAAACAGGGATAAAACGAGAATCATGATAATTGACAGAGCTAACAACAATCAAAATCATCTGGTTAGGATAAACAATATCGCTGTTGTAGATAAATTTGTGTATCTGGGCTCATTAATAACCAACAAAGGAGGCTGTACTGAAGAAATAAAGCGGCGGTCAGCAATCGCAAAAAGCGCTATGGCAAAATTAACAAAAATTTGGAAAAGCCATGAAATTACTACCGATACAAAAATGAGACTAGTAAGAAGTCTAGTTTTTCCAGTTTTTACTTATGCATCGGAATGCTGGAGCCTTACTGAGAAAGACAAAAAGAACTTAGATGTATTTGAGATGTACTGCTGGAGACGAATGCTGAGAATACCATGGGTGGCCCGAAAAACAAATGAATCCATACTGGTCCAGCTTACATAAAGAAAAAGACTAAGAACACAAATAACAGAACAGATAATAAGCTATTTTGGACATGTGCTTCGAAGAAATGGTCTTGAAAAACTTACCATCCAGGGAAAAGTAGAAGGCAAAAGAAGTAGAGGTAGATCTCCTATACGATACACGGACCATATTGTTGCTACCATTGGCGCTCCATTGTCAGAATGTGCTAGATTGGCAGAAGATAGAAAAACGTGGAGGAACATTGGAAAAAATTACCTAACAGCTTCATGATATCACGATACCTGCATCAGGTTAACGACTAAGAAGAAGAAGAAGAATATTTATTTTATATCTAAAATTTATCAAACTTTTAAACATTATGGAGAGCACCAATGCAGTTTACCGTGCCTTTTACTAGAACGAAAAGTTTTCTGCGAATTCCGTTAATCGTTTAGAGGTGTAAGTTGGTTGAATGTACTGTACAACTCAGCTACATATTCTTGTAAGTTTGTACTGCACTTCACAGTTCTTGTCATGTGTGTATTCATCACATCACACACCACGAAAGTTGATAAAAGGCAATATTTATATGCCACAAATATAGATGAAAGACGAAACCGAATATATTCATATATAGTTGTATTTGTTTGAATTTGCGACGAACGATAGATAGATCGAGGTAAATTTACAGTCTGACCATCACCAGTGTATGTCGACAAGCACCGGTATGCCTATGCGGTGCGGGGAGGTGAAATGAAATGCGGGTTTCCATAGAGAAACGACAGTCTGGCGCGGGTTTTGTCCAAATGAGGTCACGTTGCATCTCTTTGTTATAATACGACTGTTGTTTCAATATTAGGATTATCGTGTAAAATATTTTTTTATTATGGAGATTTACGAAGGAATGGATACTGACGTTGATCGTGACGTTTTTTTCGAAACATTACAAGCATTAATTGCGACTAAACGGGAAGACAATTGTTTTTATTTTTCTAAAGAAAGGTACTCAAAAACAATTTCCGAAGTGATTTCTGCCAAAACTAAGTGCAGCACACCTTTAGACTATAGACGATTAAAACGTTTTGACGTTTTAAAAGTTGACGACGAAGAAAAATTAATTGTACCTTTAAAACCAGGAGAAACGAATGCACAGTATTATGTTATCAATGATGAGTTGTTTACTATACTATCTGAAACTCACACCAGAATTGGTCACGGGGGAAGAACACGCATGCTTAAAGAATTGCAAGTAAAATACAAAAACGTTACACATGAAGTTGTAATGTTGTATTTAAATTTGTGTAAATATTGTCGAATGAAAAATAATGTACTTATAAGGGGTAAGTTTTTTATTATTGATAAATAAGAACATTTAGCAAATATTTCGGAAATTTACCTAATATTTGAATAGGAAGCTTGATATTTACCAGGTAATGTCGACATTCTCCAGATTTTTTATTTTAATATAAAGGTATCTCTTCTCCTGAACGTGCTTAGTTCCCTTAACGATTAGGCGATTAACATGGTACGACTATATCTGTCTTCAGCTATTCTGACCGGTTGTTCTACACTTCGTATTCCGGTCCATTCTCTGATATTTATCAACCACGAGGCTTATTTTCTACCCATTCCTCCGCGTCCTTTGATTTTACCCATTATAAAGGTATATACAAAAGTCAAAGACAATGATGGTGATGATTCCTCTGCCTAAACATGTTCATATCTGCAGCAGCATTCTTCTTGTTCAGTGCCTTATCTGGTCCGAATGTTGGCGATCATCAACGCTATCATGGTTTTGTTGACTGCTCTGCGATACAGTTCCGCGGAGGTCATCCCAAACCATTGTCGGAGGTTTTTTAACCAAGAGATACGACGGCGTCCCGGTTCTCTCCTGCCAAATACTTTACCCTGCATAACTAATTAAAGAATTCGATATTTTTCTTCGTTCCTCATCACGTGCCCGAGGTACTCAAGCTTACGTTGTTTCACTAAATTTAGCACTTCTTTTTCTTTTTTCATGTGCTGTAGGACCTCAACGTTGGTGACATGGTCCACATATGATATTTTTAGTATCCTTCTGTATATCCACATCTCGAAGGCTTCAATCCGATTTTCTGTGGCTTGCGTCAGTATCCAGGCTTCACCTCCATATAGTAACACTGGAAGAATGTAGCACCTCACGATCCGCATCTTGGTTCCCAAACTGAGATCACTGCAGTACAGCAAGGATCTCAACTTGATAAATGTAGACCGTGTTATTTCAATTCTGGATCTAATCTCTTGAGCGTAGTCCCATTGTGAGTTGAGGGTAGTTCGCATGACGTCTTTGATATAACTCCATTTTTGTTCTACACTCTGTTCTTGTTGTTTAGCGGTTTCTAGTTTTTCTCTCATTACATCTCTTACGTTCTGACGAACTACGGGGTCTTTTAGAGTGTCATAATCCAGGTTCTGTTTAGGTTTAATTATTATGAGTTTCAGTTTATTCGTCTTCCGGGTTTGGACCGTGTCATTTGTGAGTGACCCAAAAGTGGGTTCATCTCGACGTTTCGCTACAATTGTATGTAGCTTCTTCAGGAGAACAAAGAAAAAGAAAACAAAAGACAGGAAGATGAGTAGTTAGCAACGGTAACTCAGTTACTCAACACAACCAGAGGCGAATACTAACTACCAAGATGGGCATTTGGTCACAGTAACTCAACTACTCAACGCAGCCAGAGGTGAAAACCAAATGCCAGGACAGGGATTCACGTCCAACAACTCAGAACACTAACGCGTCGAGAGGCGTGGAGTGAATCCGACGATTACTCCGCTACCGCTCTATTTATAGTCGCGGTGACCTGTCGTGTCGGGACGTATCGGCACACTTCGTGGCGCGAACGTCAAGAAGCGCGCGCTGGCCAATCATGTGGATGCATCGTGGTGGCGGGACCGGACGGTGGCTCTAGACTGAGATTCCAGATGGGAGACAAGTAGTATCCTTCCTCTCGATTGATATTGTGGGATTTTTTCCGGATCTCTAGAGATTCGCGGATTTTCCTGGAATAAAAGAAGGGGCTCTTAGAGATAATATGGGTTTTTTTCGAACAATATGGAATGACCGGTTTCTTGGCAGTGTTCTGCAACCGCAGAATGGGAGAAAAGACCTGATCGAATGCATCTTTGATGCTCTTGAATCCGAGTTTTAACGGAACGACCAGTTTCGCCAATATACACATGTCCACATGAACAAGGAATAGAATAGACACCACAGGAAGATAGGGGCGGTAATGGGTCCTTAGAAGAGGGTAGATATTGTGAGATTTTCTTGGGTGGTCGAAAAGTAGTCCTGATACCTTCTTTGCGAAGAATTTTGCCAATCCTATCAGTGACATTTCGAATATACGGAAGAAAAGCCACAGGAGTATTACCCGAAGATTCTGAATTTGTCGTCCTAGGGTGTAAGGGGGGATGTAGATGTCGGTGTGTAATATTTTGAATTGTGGACTTGTAGTAACCGTTGGCGACAAGGGTTTTTTGCAGATGGCCAAGTTCTTCTCTAAGGTTGTCGGGTTCAGAAATCGAAATGGCCCGATGGATGAGAGAGTTGATCACAGAATTCTTTTGGGCAGGATGGTGGTGTGATGAAGCATGTAGGTAACGATTCGTGTGAGTCTTTTTTCTATAAACAGAGTGACCCAATCGGCCATTGGGCTTGGAGGTGACTAACACATCAAGAAAGGGAAGGGACCGATTATTTTCTACTTCCATTGTGAATTTTATACTCAGATGTTGTGAGTTAAGATGATCTAGGAAGGCAGAAAGGGTATGTTGACCATGGGGCCAGATGATAAAATGTATCATCAACGTAGCGGAACCAGACTTTTGGTTTTAAGGGGTAAGATTCTAGGGCTAAAGACTCAAAGGCTTCCATGAAAATGTCAGCAATGACAGGGGAAAGGGGAGAACCCATACATGACTCTCTAGTTATTCTGCGAGATCACTTGACCAATGATAACAAGTCTTTGATTTTGGCAGATCTTGCGGAAAAATGCCTCCTTTCAACATATTTTTCTTTTAGAGGCAATTTCTACAAACAAATATCTGGAACACCAATGGGTTCTCCCCTTTCCCCTGTCATTGCTGACATTTTCATGGAAGCCTTTGAGTCTTTAGCCCTAGAATCTTACCCCTTAAAACCAAAAGTCTGGTTCCGCTACGTTGATGATACATTTATCATCTGGCCCATGGTCAACATACCCTTTCCCCAACATACAAATCGTTGCGAGCATCACAATTTGACCATTTCTTGGTTATCGTTAATCCTAGAATATTTTACAATGTACTATTTTAAAGTACAGAAAATAACTTAAATGAGAAATTAAGTTAAAAGTAGAAACATTTGAAAAACCATATCTTGCTTAAAGTTCTTCTTCTTAGAGTGTCGTCTCCCTACGGAGGTTGGGATTAATCATAATGGCTATTTTTATTTTAGAACTTCCTGCTCTAAACAAATCAGTCGATCTACATTGATACCAATCACGTAGATTCTTTAACCATGAGTTCTGCCTTCGGCCAACAGATCTTCATTAAATCTTTCCCTGTATTATCAGTCTCAAAATTTCATATTTAGGTCCGCTCATCACGTGGCCTAGGTATTCCAGTTTTCTGGTTTGTAAAGTGGTGATTAGTTCTGTTTCTTTACCAACCCTCTCCAGTACTTCTTTATTTGTAATTCTATCAGTCCATGATATTTTCAATACTCTGCGGTATAACCAGAGTTCGAAGGCCTCGATTCTTTTTAAATTACATTTTTTTAATGTCCAAGTCCCAGCTTCATATAATAATCTTGAAAATATATAACAGCGAATGGTACGTAGTCTGATCTCCAAATTTAGATTTTTGCACGTTAGGAGTGGCTTCATTCGTATAAATGCTGATCTGCTTAAAATTAGTCCTAAATAATTATATAATAGACCATTTTAAAGGTAATTGATTTGTCTTTCTATTAAATGTACCACAGCACATACGTAAAATTGCGTAGAGAAATGTTATAGAACAATGTTTGGGAAAAATCGGGAAAAATGGCCAAAAAATGGTGTGAGTGGCGACTTTGAAAAATCGTATCTGGTATATTGTAAACTATAAAGCCTTCTACCAAACGTCATTTTGAAGAGAAAGCGTAAAAGTTTTTTTCTGTTAAGTAATGCCTATATCTATATCCCCGTGAAAAAAAAGTTATGGCTCAAAAAGAAAAATCGTGTGATTTCATGTTTTTTTTGCATCGTTTTTTGAATATGCCTGGTGGTGAATCGTCAAACGGGCCATAGGAAACTCAATGGGAAATTTTAAATTGTTGAATTGCTGCATCCCTAATTATTTTAGATCAAAAGTCATAAAAGACTATTTGTAGAGGACTAAATTCTAAATTAAAAACAAATGTTAAAACCGTTCTACGAATCAAATGTACTTCAAAATTTTGCAAAATTATAATAGATTTTAAGAGCACCCCTAAAAGTTATTCTACACGTAATACAAGAATATATTTATAACGTGTCAGATGTTTGACAATTTGAATTGTCAATTTTTTTTATTTTATGATTAAAATTATAAACAATGAATTACAATGAATTACAAATACTACTACTACTGAACAATATTACTTTGTGAACAATAAATTATATTGTTTACAAATCGATTAATATAATGAAATGTACTCAGTTGACGAAAAATCGCATAATGTTGTATTCAGGCAATAGCGCGAACCTTTTCCTGTCACTACGGATCTTTATTTAACGTAAAATATTCTAATACACTAAAATTTAATTCCATGTGAAGTTATACAACTCAATGAATTCCAATATACTGTTACTGTGATCTTTATTCCTAATAATAATATACGATAATTTCTAAACATAAAACTATAACAAATGTTATAACAAAACATGAATAAAACATTTTTATTATTGCTCTTTTCTCCTTAACTGAGTACATTTTTTGATCAACCTAATTTTTCTTTTAAATAATAAATCGCAAAATTTTGACCATTTAAATCATAGATAAATATAATATAGTTGATTTAAATATTGTCAAATATTAGAAACGTCAATATGACAAAACGCAACACGTAATACACATTCTGTTCACGGCGTCTAGCCTGACTTTTAGGGGTATCCTGAAAAATTATATTTTATATATATTATATTTTAGCAAAATTTTGGAATACGTTGAAGTCGTAGAACAATTGTTTTCGATACATATTTGAGTCCTCTACAAATAGTTTCCCATGACTTTTGGTGTAAAATAATTAGGGAAGCAGGAATTCAACAATTTAGAATCTCTCATTGAGTTTCCTATGGTC